AGCTAGTATTCATTACTATTCAGACAATTCTTGGTTTCTAACATATCCTCCATGAGACTTTAACCAGGAAAAAACAAGGAATACACACCTAGGCAGTTTACTAATAAAACCCCCACCTATTTCTATAGAACTTGATTTACTACTCAGCTTTATTGTTGTGATCCTGGAACGGAAAAGTTAAAGATCTGCTTAACCTGGAGTTTCTTTTCCAATAAACTTCCTGTTGAATTCTGTGAATTGGGGATTGCTTGAGTAGTGTTCCTGCTAAAAGTGTTCCTGGTGCTTTTGCTGTTGAGCTTTTGCTCGTTGGCTGTCGCATGTCCTTAGCCATAGCACTAATGCAGCAACTTCTGCTGTTTTCCCCTCATATTCTCAGAACTATTCAGCTTTTGGTTTATGCCAAGAGAATCATGAAAACATGGACCATAAGTCTGGGGCCGTGTTTCTGCAAGCACTGGTAATGAAATTACTCCTGGAATATTGCAGCTAGTTAAAGTAACACCTTGCTAGAAAGTATCATCAGACTGAAAGGAAGAGAAAACATCAGAGGTCTTGAGAGGCTCACCCATAATGAAACATCAGAAGAATGGCTTTTGAACGAAAAGACAAGTGGTGATTTTGACATGAGCACAAACACGAAGGTCTGTGTGCATGTTTATACAGGAACATCGGGAAGGTCTCATTTGCTTTATAGCTGAGTCAAGGGATGTAGTTACTATATATTTATCCCCTGATCTAGGTGCAACACAGCCAAAAGGATGTATTGTGTAGCTGGGATACAACCAGGTCAGAGTCCCACACAAGCCAGTGACTTAAACTGGTTTCTGGCGCCAAGGTGCCCCTGCCACAGCACAGGGGGGCCGGGTGTCTTGTAACCACGTCCCCTGGCCCAACAACCGCTGCAGGAAGGTGTTGGACTAATGGTATGACACCAGCACAAAGAAAATGCCCTGTGGCTATTAGAAAACAAATTCCAGCAGTGTGACCTGTTAGGCTGGGAGGCAGGTACCCACCATGGAGTCACTGCAAATGTTCAATGCTAGATTGTGCGAAATTTTAGTGACTACGCAGCACGCAACAGCCCAGCAGAGGCAGGGAGGCAGCTGACTCATAGGATGCTGGAGGTCTGCAGAGATCTCCATGGGTCTTAGGCTTCTCTTCCATCTCTGATTTCTGCCCTGCCCGACATTTGAGTGCATTACTGTCCTGTCATGTGATTTGTTTTATAACCCAGAGGGGACAGCTGAATTCCTTCTACAGCAACAATATTTTTTTTATGCCAATGCCACGACCTTTATTCATGAAAAACAAAGTACAAATGGGGAAAGCAGGGTGGAGCTCCGTCAGAAATGTGATGTAAACAGCTACAAAGACGTGGTTGTACTTCTCCAAACCCAGTTCCCACCAGGTAAGAATCAGAGCAAGAGGCATTGCAAACACAGCAGAGATCCTATCTGATATATTTTGTCAAGCTAATTGCCTGTACCTAAAAGCAAGGTCTAATAAAAATTCCCAAATTAAACTTTTGGTCAGATTAGACAACAACATCAACAACAACAATAGCTTCCAATGGATTTCATGGAAATAAATTCCTGTTCCAGGTATCCGCTGACATTTTAAAAAAGCCATTCTAGCATTCATGCAAGTAGCATGAACAATTCAGCAGG